ATCTTTAAAATAATTAACACCAAAAGAAAAACATCTAGAAAACATCTACCATTTAAACGTCAAAAACACTAGTTAGTTAGTTAGTTAGTTGGGTTATCCTCATTGCACTCCGGACATGTCCATAGGTGCTCAGATCCTCCCCTCAGTATGAACCCCAACGTCCGATGGCTAATAGTACCAGTTCTATGTTGATTAACAAGTCTTCTAGCGTGTCTGGTGTGCGTCTCGTTTTTTGCTGTGCCGATCTTAATTCCCAAGTCTGCCATTCTGGCGAGTGATGTGGATTCACTGCCACCAAAGTCCTCTATCCTTCCCATATATAAATGCAAGGATATACATCTAAATCTGGATCCAAAGTGGCAACACTGCCCACAGCGCGTCCACACAAGGAACAAGTGGGATTAAAGAACTGCATGATTGTCGTGTACCACGTGATGCGATGACGTCAGCAAACATATCATGGCTGACTGAGGGTAGCAGACGACGGACTTAGTCGCCTACGGTCTAACTTTCACCTTTGCCGACACCACACAGACCTACCTTCTGTCTTATCTGTCATTCATCAATTATAATCAAGGAGTAGAAGTTGTCATTGCTCGATAGTGTATGGTATAGTTTATTTTCCTGCGCCGTATACTCAGTTTTCTTCCCGACTGTAGCGGTGCTCTCAAACTACTAGTTTAACTAGTTTTAAGAGAGGCACCAACACCTGGAGACATTTGTGTGTGGGAGTCCGTGGTCATTATCATTGTTGTCTGCTGTGTCATCCAATTTGAGGAATCACCTATTTTTAAAACAGCTAAATCAAGAGCGTGAGTATAATTTACATTTAATTATTAATTATCATCGACATGTAGCAGGTCCTTTGCAGAACGTCGCTCTCATTACGGTCTGCCTGAAAGAAACTCGGCCTCTCGCCAGCTCTCCCGCTTCATGTAATTTCATATTCAAGGAGTTACTTATATCCTGTGCCCATCTTCGTGTCGGTCGGCCCATGCCCCTCCTTCCTGGTACCATGCCTTCTGCTATAATTTGTTGCAATCCGTCCTGGCGCTTGATATGACCAAAATATTTCAGCTTCCGAGACAGGATACTGTTTATTAATTAGCCAATCTTCCTTGATGTTCAGATCTTTCAAGATGTCAATATTTCTCCTCTTCTTTGTCCAAGATATTCTGAGAATCTTTCTATATAATTTCAGCTCAAAAACCCCTATTCTCTTTTTTAAGGACTGGGAGATAGTCCACGGATGTGCACATCTGTATGTTGCTACAGGGAAGATGCATGCTCTCAAACTTCTTTTGATCTTCTTGCTGGTGCTTAACCAAAGACAAGGCTTTTAATCTTTGCATTGCTATGGCCATCCTCCTTTTAATTTTTGCTAAACAATTTTTGCCAAACAGTCTCCGTTGCTATTTATTATAGAACCTAGGTGTTAAAAGTTTGGGCTATCTTCCTAATAACGCTCCCAAATTATCGAGGCAGAAAAATACCCTAATAGGGCCTCAGTCACGTGTCAATTGGGCACCTTCCAGCGACTTAAATTGCGCACCTCCGGTGACTTTTGCCACCGCTAAGAGAATCCCCCACGCCACTAACACGGCGTAGATTGGGGCTAAACTAGATGGCTGGGACTCATGAGCAGCAGCTACCGCAGCTTCCTTCATTTTATTTGTTTATGAGTCCCAGCCATCTAGTTTAGCCCCAATCCATGCCGCGTGTAGCAGCTTGGGACATACTCTCGGCAGTGGTGGAAGTCCGCAATTGACACGTGAATGAGGCCCTGTTAGGGTGTATTTTCAGCCTCGATAATTTGGGACCGTTATTCGGAAGATAGCGGGTATGGTGAGAGAATGCACCTCTGCCTCACTCTATTTTGCACCTCCATCCAATCCGATGTTTCACCAGCTGTTCTGATGGCTACTTGTTGTTCTTGATAAAGATTTTTGGCTCTCCTGTCAACTGCGGCCGGTAGACAACAGTAGACAGCCTGTTAGTCGGAGTTCTGTCCTTTGGCTACAGTGCAATTACGGAGTGGAAAAGGAGGGAATGAAACAATTGACACAATTACTGTGTTTTGGCGATAGACAGCGTGCACTGCCCTGCTATAATCATACGGTTACAGTTTGGGTTAGGGTTTGGGTTGGAGTTAGGGTTAGGTTTGGGTTAGGGTTTGGGTTAGGGTAACACATGTAACGTCGAGTACTTACCCATAATGCGGCCGCTATATGTGATAATTTTCAGACAGGAGTTACAAATAATGGCCGACAATGTGCTGCTTGTGGCAGTGGCGCCATTGAAATTCTGCTAAATATGAAGGCAATAGCGCCCGGCTGGTGCCCAATTGGTGTCGAATCTTGCGCTTCAGTAGCATCTAGAGGACGGTTGCACGAGCCACATACCTGCATGTTCCTTATGACTCTATGCTCAGCTAGCCACCGCAACCACGCAAGCTTATCACTCATTAAGGCATACAGATCTGGAGGTGTCACATCTACGGCCACTAAGTCTTGCGTCGCAAGAACGTGATCGCTAATGTGAGTCGCGGCACGTGGTCTAGGTCTAGCAGCCATGTCTACGTCACAGTGTGTTGTGATTCGTGCCTTTTCCACTCCGTATTTGCACTGTAGCCAAGTGACAGAACTCCAACTAACCGGCCGTCTACTGTTGTCTACCGGCCGTAGTTTACAGGAGAGCCAAATTTTCAATTAAATGCACTAAATACGATTGAAACCCCATACTTCTCATAATAGTCCAGTTTCTGATGTTGGACACAATCAATGAAACAGGCATGAAGATCTATGTTGTATTCACTGCATTTTTCAAAAATTATTCTGATATTAAAGTTGTGATCCCTGGTTCCTCTACCCTGTCTGAAACCTGCTTGTGCTTCATGTAGCATGTATTCTAATTTCCTTAATTATTATTGCAGTATATTTCACTTTTTTTTCTGTGTTCACCCTTTAAAGGACAGTTGGCACGGTTTGTGTTATGGTTTACAGATAGACTGCAGTGTCTGTCTTTCTGCCCAATACATCTGATTTCAGCTTAGCCATAAATCTATCTTCTTTTTAGAGATGCTTGTCAGGAGCCGTGTGTCTATCCTAGGGTGGCCAAAATATCTGGAGCTGAAAGCAAAGCAACCCCCCATCCCACCCAACAGTTCTAGAATTTATTATAATTACTATTTATGCATTTTAAAAACAATATAATAAAAAGACCTGTAAATTGTATAAACCATTACTATTAATAAATATTAAAATCCCTTGATGACTTATGAAATGTTTATGCCCTTTCCTGGCCCATCCTTCATTATAGAGTTCAGGACTGTCTCAAAATCAAGAATTATCTATCAGGAGAATTAGTCTTTTTGAGAAGAGTTTTATTCTTTACTTTATTATAATTTTTTTTGTTTACAGTTCACTTGTATCAACAGGATGACTTCATTGTCGTGACACTCAAGCAAAATATTTCACTTGTCCATACAGTGTTCATTGTGGAATAAACACTTTCCACAGGGGTTGATGCCAGTCAAACATAACTCTATTTCCACAGTTTTACGATGGATGTTATACATAATTGTTCCTCTTCTTATTAAATACTTGCACGCATCTGCCTGCCACACAAAGCACTTTGTCTTTCTAGAATCTGTGTTATGATTTCTTTTGCATGTTGCCACAGTCTTGCTTCTTCTTCTGAACTTGAGATATTAGCTTTCACTAATTTATTATAAATAGTTGAAATGCTGGCTTGAATTTTATAGCAGTTAGGTACAACCTGGAGAAGAACATACTAAAATGTATCTGCTCTGCCCAGTTTCCCCATTTGTTAAGATATTCCAAGCTGGAGTTATAGAATCAAATAGAATCAATCATGTAAAAAAACATGCTTCTTTTAATATTGCCAGAGTATTCAAAAGAGACCAGGTGGTTTGAAACCTTTGATGTGACAAGCTGTTGTTCTTGCTTTCCTTTCAACTTCTTTAATATCGAAATGTGAGATTAAACCTCTGTTGCCGACATATCATTCTTCTCTGTTTACACTGTTTCTTCAAATACTTGAATTTGATCAATGACAAACTGTAGGTACAGCTGAAAACAGAGGTCACTAGTTTTTAAAAAAAAAATTCTTTCTGCAGATCTTCATTGAAACTACAGGTGCGTTTTCCGGGACCATTCTAACCATTATCTCAGTTACTGCTGCTTTACATTGCACTGCTTACACTAAAATAATAGAATAATGCATATTTAAGCTGGGTTTAATTTCTCACTCAAGAGTGGTATTAAAACTCAAACCATTGTCGGCAAGAAGTAAACAAAACAATATGGAAAAAATACATGCATCAATGAAAATTCCCATCAGCACATGTCGAGCATTAAAAGTATCTAAAGACTATGAAATCTTAAAACGTTTTCAGATGTAACAATAAGCATATTTGATTCTCATATTATTTGTAGTTTCTTTATCATGTGTGACAATTTGAATTTTTCTGGAGTACCAACAAGTTGGCCGAGGCACACCTAAACCATGGGACTGTTGTGAACGTCACCCTAGTCCAATGTTTCCCAGAGTGGAGGCTATTGCTCCCTGGGGGTGCTTGGAATGTGCTGAATTTCTGTTGTGAAGAACATTTTGTTTATCCCCAGCAATTTTTCTTGCTTGAACTCTTATCTGAATATGCAGAATTTCTAATAATTACAATTTCTTAGGTCTCTGGTGAGTTCTTTTAATCATGTCTGCACTGTATTAACCACATCAACCATCAGATTCCAGTTGATCTACAAAGATAATAGTTTAGCATCATATACCATAATTTTGAAAATTGTTGTTTACTTAAATCTAAGGTTTTCAGCTAATCAGAGTTATAAATTCTAACTGCAGACAGTAGAGTAAATAAAGTTATGAACTTGTCTGACGATGATAATTCTTGATTTCATGTTCCGCTTTGTTGACAATTCTAGATGTTGTGTTAGTGCTGCAACCAGGAAGTGAGTCGGACCATGTCAGGGCAGACAAAGCTTTTGAAAGTGGTGCTCATCGGAGATGGTGGAGTTGGGAAAAGTTCGCTGATGAACAGGTTCGTCAGCAACAAGTTTGATACTCAGCCTTACCACACCATCGGCGTGGAGTTCCTCAACAAGGATGTGACAGTGAGTAGAATTTAGTTCAACTGTCGTAAATAGCTGCTCATTTCAGGATCTGATGTCCTGTTGTGGGACTAAGCTTGTGTAGTACTGCCACATAGGTAGTGGGCGTAATCACAAATGTCACGAGTGTTTGTTAGGAGCAGCTGTCCTGTTCTGTAAGTCGACACTGATGAAACCCATCAGAAGGGGAAAGCATGGTCCAGAGGATTTTTTTCTGACATTCAAGTTGCTTGGTTCAGTCCTAGCCTAAAGGAGGGGAAAAAAGGGAGGGGGGGGGGGTTCACAAAGTCACTGGTTTCTAGTAATACCGCATGTCCTCTGGCTGGTCCTTAAAGGGATCAACAACAGTCTTACTGCTGCTTTGTTTTTGTTGCATGCTGGCTCTGTTTCTAACACATGAATTTCTGAAGATGTTAAGTCGTCCCAAGAGAGACTCTGCAGAAGTTGTTCAGCTTGTTCCATTTGTTGTCAAAAGTCTTGTCATTCTGTATTCTCTTAATTTATTTACATCTTGAGTGGTTTTTATGCCTTGATTTTATTTTCTCCTCCACTTCTATTCCTCTCTCTCTCAGCTCATGAGTCCTTCTGTATCTTAACAAAAGCTTACCAAGTCTCAGCATTTTTGATCTAAGTAGTTATGAGCCGAACTATGGGGATGACCTTTAAATCCTCACAGTTATAATGTAACTGATCCCTGTGTAAAACTGAGTCACAGGAATGGTGTCATTTAGACAATAATAGTTCAGCAGTTATACCAGGGAAAGTCATTAAGTAAAGGCAGTTAATCCTAGTCTGCATGGAACAGTATGCAGAGGAAAACATATTATTTCAGGACCCACAAAGGCCCCTTTGCAATACTCATAGTATGTCTCATGACGGTTTAGCAGAATGCATATGAGCAACGGCTCATACAAGATGGTCACAGCACTGCTAACATACACCGTAGAAGAGCAATGAGATGCTGTTTGTTTTTATAGACCTGCCTCCACACGGCTGTGCACAGTGGAACCACTACATGCTGTGGTTTAAAGTTTTGAAACATCATTGCTCTGTTTATTCATGTCCATCCTGTTAGAATAAATAAAATAACCATTTCGTCTCCATCTTCTCTTTCTCCTCTTCCCTTATTTTTCTCCTCCTCCTTTTCTTCTTCTTCCTCTTCTTCACTTCCTCCTCTTCTTCTTATTCTTCTTCTTATTATTATTATAATTAATAGTATTATTATTATTGTTTTTAATTAATGTTATAATAGTCCATACTGTGTGGTTTTGGTAGCAAATTTTAGTCCAAAGACTTCTTTCTGACGTAGTTTCAGTTATTTCTGACACATGACCTGTCATGCCATGATGTCAGTAATATCACTAGGTGACTATACTTCCCACTTTATTCATGTCAATCTTCTTAGAAAATGTACTGACCGCTTTGATTTTCTACGTTATAGAGTTACTTTATGCACGTTATCCTTGTCTATCTTTTTCTTCTGCGTTCATCTGAAAATGCAATTGTGTTGTGCCCGTTTACATCATGGCTGTGATATTTGCACCTTTCGGCCAACACATACGATTTCTGCGGTCATTTCTTGTCCCGGTTAGCCTTCCCGGTATCCTTGTCTTACCATGAACTTCCAATTTCTGACTTTTTAGGTTTTTTAATATCCACTAACACTCCATGTTCACATTGTAATGTGTGTTGATTAGTGCTGCTGTTAGGAGCTGGCATGGTATAGTAGCTAGACACTCACCTGGGGATCCAAAAGCCGTGGGTTCAAATCCAAACAGCTATACTTTTTTTTTAGAAATGACCTCAGCTCCCAAGTCAGCCCAACCTTTGATGGGTACCAGGTGAACATCCTGGAAAGTAAAGGCAGTTGGCATGATGTTGACTACATCATCCACAAATGCCAGTTGGTCTATGAAATATAGGTCTATCTCTCTATGCCCAGTATGCCAAAAGCATGTAAAAGGGTCCCTTTTATTTATGTTACATGTTTATAAAATTGACACTAATATGCTCTGATGTTTGTTTTGTGACCCACTTGTAGGTCGACGGTCAGAACTACACTTTGCAGATATGGGACACTGCAGGCCAGGAGAGGTTCCGGTCACTGAGGACCCCATTCTATCGAGGCGCTGACATTTGTTTGCTGACTTTTGCCGTCAATGATAGAAAGAGTTTTGACAACCTGTCCTCCTGGAAAAAAGAGTTCCTATATTATGCTGATATTCACGAAGGAGCTGTTTTCCCATTTGTAATTCTCGGAAACAAAGTTGATATGCCAGGCCGGGCGGTTGAAGAGGACCTGGTTCGAGCGTGGTGTGATTGTAACGGAAATGTACCATATTTTGAAACCAGTGCGAAAGATTCCACTAATGTAGAACTGGCATTTGTTTCTGCCGTTTCGAGGCTGCGGGAGTTGGAAGACCAGCTTGACCACCGACCTCTCCAAGTAAAGACGGTCAAGTTAAATCAATCATCATCATCAGATTCAAGCTGTTGTTAATTAGGAGTCATTATGGTTTTGGTCACAAACACTGTTAATATTATTTAAATTATGGAATGAGAGAATCAACACCATTTTCCCATATGTTTGGGAACCGCATTCGGGGGGGGGGGGGGGGGGGGGGGGGGGGGGGGGGGAATAGACCCACTGCCCCCACAAACAAGTATGTTAAAAAAAATTGTATTAGTTTTTTTCCCTTTGAAGTCAGAGTACATGTGCCTGAGAGGCGAGGAACCCTCAGTCTGCTTACAAATAAACCAGATCTGTGGAGCGGATGTGCAACTCAAAACTCAAGTTCTGGAACAAGACTCATCCAGAAGTGGACAAACAACCAGACTTTTACGCCAAAGTTTACAACCATTGAATGCTAAGAAGAAGAATAAGGTCATCATCATCCTGTTGCAGGTATGTTGCTGACCACCAGTCTCATCATGGCCCACCAGAATCCTTTTGAAACCTTGTGTATATTTTATCCAGTGTTCTATTTCACATTTGTGCTGGTCAGTCTTTGTCCCTTCTCCAGGAACCATTTTACTTTATGACACTGACTTAAATTTTAACTTTAGAGACAAGATGCTGTTTATAAACCTGTTGTCTCCCTGTTCAGGTCTAATAGAAAGACTATTTCCTGATATTGACATTTGTCTGTGATATCATAATTTTTTGGGGTAACAGTGAAGTTTGTCCATCACCTTCTTGATGCAAATGACCAGATCTTTGAGTAACAAAGGAACTTCAGCTCCATTGTGACCATGCTTACTCTCGTTATTTTTATGTGGTTCAGATTTGTTTCACTGACAACATTTCTCTGGTTTTACTAGGCTGCACACCCTTCTGATATAGCTGGTTCCTGGTGATTTTTTTGGCTGTTTCCCAAGCTAACACTGCTACTGAAAGATGCCCGGTTTAATTCACAAAAAGATATGAGGAGCATAGAAGCTAAACTGTGGTAATTTCCCAGAATACCTTCATGAAATGCTTCTAACAGTGGCTGAACTACTAGGAGAAATGAGTGGTTTCAGAGAGACTACTTTGAAGTGGATTCAGGTCTCAGACCTTTGAGTAATTGTAAATACATAAATGGAAACACAAGCAGAGGGTTTTTAAAGTGTAATTATGATTTCTAGAAATTCTAGGTAATTTAAAAAAAAAATAGTTTATTTATGTTACTTGAACTGTTAAGTTCCCCATGTGGGTTCTGGGGCCCCATTGTGGGGAAAACAAGTATGGACCCACTGCCTTCACAACAAGCATGTCATGGAAGTCGACCAGTTCGGGCATCCTTTAAAATGAGAGTTTATCTATCTGAGAAGCAAGGGAACCAAGAGTCTGCATACAAATACAGCCATATCTGTGAAACGAATGTGCATGCAGCACTCTGGTTCTGGAAAAGACTAAACTCTAGAGATGAATGAACACCAAGCATTTTTTGCGGGAGTTTACTGCTGGTGAACTCGAAGAAGAAGAACTGTTATGCAAACTGTTTTCTAAAATTTCGATGACTAAACAAACCTACTTTAGACATATTATTAAATGGATAAATAGATTAGCCCTTGTAAAGTTCATTAAATAAAATGACCTTAAACTAGCCGCTGAATGCTTCTAGAAGCTTAATATCAGTGTGTCACAGACAGTGATTGGAGCCTGTCAGTATCCAGTGTTATTTACTAGTGGTTACTTCAAAACTGCCAGTTATTGCCTGTATTTGCCACTTTTGTAGTGCAAGCAGTGGGTCTTTTAGCCTCATGATTTAAGGCTACATGGCTAGTGCTATTGCCACAAACTGTGCCAGTTAGGTTTTTATTTTTGCCCATATGGAAATAATTCCATGATCTTTCAGAGGATTTGAACTTGATGGAGGTTCGTTTTGTATGACTTTGTCCACCGAAACTTCATTGGCGAACATGACAAAGCCTAAGTTCCACTATTTGCCAGTATCTCGGCGGGACTTTTCGTTGATTATGATGGTCACTCCGTTTTTTGGCCAGAGCAGCCAAATGACTCACGCAAGTATGTGTCTGCTGCGTCCTGCAAACATTTTATGGGTGGGGGGGGAGAACTTGGAACAGGAATAGCTGGCCTTTTGGGTGTTTTGGGCATAGCCCTCTTGACTTCCAATGTTGTTTATGGTGTGCGGTCTTACACCCAGTGCGTTTTCCTGGCTAGCCATCTCCCAGGAAGTAAAGAATGCACACCTCCTTGACTGTTATGGTTTTTGGATCCCTTAGAACGACACAACTCTTGATAGCTCAGCAAATCTTGAAATGTTCTATAAATAAATTTTATGTGATGTCCGGGGACAGGCCAGCAATGAACAGCTTCCTCAAATATTGATCCTGAGGCTGAGGTCGTAGATGCAGCCCCATATTGCCATTGATGTCTTTGGTGTCTATGTTACCCGAACAGCCAGGTTGGGATTCCCTTGCTGTCTCCTGGTTCATCATCGATAATATACATCTGATCTGGGCAATAGCAGAGCTACTTGATCAAGCTCGGGATCGTCTGCAGATGTTTTAGATGCCTTGAGAAAGACTGTTCTACCTGTATCCAAGCAGCTGCATATGTTTTCAGTCTAATTTCAAGAGCTAAATGAGATTCCATAATTGGTTTCCGTCCTGAAATTCTGACATACTATTGTACTGTTTATCGACAATCAGTTAACAAGGAAGTTTAAGGAAGTTAAACAATATGCCTCTTTACGTTTTTACCGCCTGTATGTGAACAAGCTGAATCTATTGTCTCTGTAATTACCTAATTGCGCTGAAGGCCACCTGTTCAGTAGGAGATCATTTAGGAATTTTGTACTCGTTGTTGGCATTACAATTTGGCAGTTTTGTTACACAAATTAACTAGATATCTCTGGGCTGGGGAAGCAATTATTAATGTACTTGAACAGTCTGTTTTTCATTGCTTTTGATAGCAGGCCATATTTAGTTGTTACAGTAGGGTTCAATTCTTCCTATGTTATTACTCAATGAAAGCTTCACCCGGAGCATGGGAGATATTGTTTTAACTAATTAGTTATAGTTAGTACATTAACTCTAGTACTTATCATCAGTTGTGAAAACCTTAACATTTATGTGTCAGCCAGTGTAGAGAAGATATACGTTGAATGAATGGAGTCGTACATTCATGTAGAGAAGACATTCATTGAATAAATGAATTAAGAATTTACATCACTGCCCTCCGGACATTTCCATACATGCTCTATACCGTTCTTCAGCAGTCAGTGAAGAATTTACATGCTAATAGTACCTTTTGCAACCTGATTAAAAGTCTGCCTGTTTCCCGCAACTATTTGACCTTAACATTTGAAAAGACAATACACAAGTATTATCAACTGTAGCCAGCGTCCAGGGTGGAGATGGCACATCATTTGTGTGTGTAGAGATGGCACATAGTTTTTGTGTATGTGAAAATGGCACATAGTTTTTGTGTGTGTGTGGAGTTGATACATAGTTTTGTTTGTAAAGAGGTAAATAGTTTTTGTGTGTGGAGATAAGACAAAGTTTTTGGTGGCGATGGCACATAATTTTGTGTGTGTGGAGATGGTACATAGTTTTTGTGTATGGAGGTGGTACATAGTTTTTTTGTGTATGGAGGTGGTACATAGTTTGTGTGTGTGGATATGGTACATAGTTTTTGTGTATGGAGATGGTACATAGTTTTTGTGTATGGAGATGGTACATAGTTTTTGTGTATGGAGGTGGTACATAGTTTGTGTGTGTGCATATGGTACATAGTTTTTGTGTGTGTGGAGATGGTACATAGTTTTTGTGTGTGTGGAGATGGTACATAGTTTGTGTGTGTGGATATGGTACATAATTTTTGTGTGTGGAGATGGTACATAGTTTTTTTTTGTGTGTGTGGATATGGTACATAGTTTTTTTGTGTGTATGGAGATGGTACATAGTTTTTGTGTATGTGGATATGGTACATAGTTTGTGTGTATGGAGATGGTACATAGTTTGTGTATGTGGATATGGTACATAGTTTTTGTGTATGTGGATATGGTACATAGTTTTTGTGTATGGAGATGGTACATAGTTTGTGTGTATGGAGATGGTACATAGTTTGTGTATGTGGATATGGTACATAGTTTGTGTGTATGGAGATGGTACATAGTTTGTGTATGTGGATATGGTACATAGTTTGTGTGTATGGAGATGGTACATAGTTTTGTGTGTGGATATGGTACATAGTTTGTGTGTATGGAGATGGTACATAGTTTGTGTATGTGGATATGGTACATAGTTTGTGTGTGTGGAGATGGTACATAGTTTGTGTGTGTGGAGATGGTTGTGTGCAATATATGGGTATATGAAAGGGGAGTTCATTATTGAACGTAAACACTTGGTGCGGTACAGGACACATTTAACGCAATGTGAAGAGAGAGAAAAACGGTTGGCTCCAAGTCCCCGGAGAGAAAGGATGCGGTGATGTAGGTTCTAGTCTGGGTGTTGCCAGACTAGTCCTGCACACCCGCATGTTACGCTGGCGTTAGGCATACAGGCTATCGGCGAGAGATGCCGCAGAGGCCCGGCCAGCGTGACAGAAGCTCGTGTGGTGAGATGGGAGATCTCAAGTAAACGTAAGTGAATCACGGACAGTTGGTAGAATAGTGAACAAATTTTTTTTGGGAAGCTGTGGAGATGTGGTTTTATAGAGGAATGGTGAGAATACACAAGTTAGTGTGTGTATTGTGTATAACTTGTGTTATTGAATACAAGATAGACTGCAAGACCACATCAACAGGTTAAACTCAGCATGCAGTAAAAACATGATGGCACATCATTTGTGTGTGTAGAGATGGCACATAGTTTTTGTGTATGTGAAAATGGCACATAGTTTTTGTGTGTGTGTGGAGTTGATACATAGTTTTGTTTGTAAAGAGGTAAATAGTTTTTGTGTGTGGAGATAAGACAAAGTTTTTGGTGGCGATGGCACATAATTTTGTGTGTGTGGAGATGGTACATAGTTTTTGTGTATGGAGGTGGTAC